CTTTTTGAGATGAGAATATTAAAAAGGAGCAGATTTGGAACGTGGGTAAAATGATACCCCAAGCATCCTCATACCTTTCTAAGTGTACCCACGTGTTTGTTTGTTTGTTTGTTTTTCTGCGTTAGCCCCAAGAAAAGCAGGCTAACTAGGCGGGGCCCTTCTGAGCTGAAATCTGGGAAGCTGGAAGGCAACCACGGCCTTCCTCCTGGGTTACTTTGGTGGCTCAAACATGGAAAAATCTGCCATGTAACTCAAGTGAAGAAGAAGCAATGAAAGGTTCAAGGGGAACCGCAGTAAGGCTTCGGCTACAGCCTGGCAGAAGGCTCGGGACGGTGATGGAGCAGAAGGACGGTGACTGCTCAGTGTGAGTGACACACGGGGCCAACACAGAGGGTCAGCCTGCTGGAGGTCAGTCTTCCTCCATGAGAGGAGGCTCATTTTAGGTCCTAAGATCAACTGCAAGAGAACAATGTAGAAACACCTATGGATCAAATATTGCCTAAGGAGACGGCAAGGTCAAATGCGAGCCGAGGGACAGAACAGGAACTGCGATGTCCACGTGGTTCGTCAGTGAGCTGTGCAGAGGCGGAGGCAGGTGCTGAGATGAGACTAGGCCTGAGGGTCCCAGCAGTAGAAAGACTATGCAGTAAGAAGTCACGACAGGTCTTGGAGCATCAAAGGCGGCCCAGAGGCTCTGCTTGCTCTGCTAGTCATTTCCCCGAAAGGACAGAGGAAGAGGCGCACTCCTGACTCTAAGGGACAGCTGAGTGGGAATAGAGACTAAAGAGGGACTTGAAAGTGTGGGCAGCAAGAGTCTCAAAAGCATGTGAGAGGATGAAGAGGAGACAGAGGCTAGAGAAGGAGATGAGAAACATTTCCTGAGAGCCAACCTTCCAGGGTGATGCTGGGTGAAACACAAAAGGGCAGAGAGACATTCTTCACTCCCCAGTGAACCTAAAGTCCAGTCCTGGAGAGAGACCGTGATAGCGCAACAGAGTGGGCACGCTAAATAACCGCAGACACTTCAGCTTATCGCAGAAACCAAAGAAAGGCTTTTACAGAGTCCTGGGACCAAGCTCAACCTGCGACTTCAGCTTAAACCAATGTAGAAAATGCCTCTCTCAGGCAGGGGAATGACATGGACCCAGAGACATAAACACGCACTGCGCAGATACAGTGACAGGAGTGCCACAGGGCAGACATTTCAAATGAGAGAGAGAGCATGCCAGTGAGTAGGGGAAACATTTTGAAATATAAGGTTGAATGTGTAAGGGCCAACATCTAACAGATGGTACAACTGAGGTATCTACTGCCACCTGGTGACAGCGTACCTTAATTACAGATTCAGCAAGACTACTCATCCTAAAAGCTGAGTTTACCAAAGGAAAAATAAAAAGGAAGGCCTATAACATCACACACTAAAATGAATGTCTCACTTGATTTAAGTCTCCAGCCCTAATGGCGATTTGGGACAAGCATTAAAAGATATAAACATAACTGTTCCCCGTATGTCCTCTGAAGCAAGGGAAGATTGACTTGTTTTTAATTACAGAATAGCAGTTATCTTTATATAATTTTCACACGCACACATACCCACACAGTCTGGATCTCTCCTTTCACTTTATAATAAATGCCTGGTTTCCTTTAAAGGAAAACACAAAGTGGGTTCTCCGTGAAGCCTGCCATCTTCCCCTGGCAGGAGGCCACTGGCCCCCGGGATGCGGGTCCACCAGCACCCCAGGGCTCTCAGAGTTCCAGCCTGCACCCGCACCGCCCGCCTCCTCCACCTCCCAGCGCCGCCGCGGGAAGAACACGGCTGCGAATCCTCTGGCACCCCTTCAGTTCCTTACAGCTGCAAAAACCACTGCACGGAAAGGGAGAACACTTCCTAGCCGGGACTCTCCGGATCCTTTCCCAAACCCAGTAAGCGCATGGCGCTTTTGCACCGGTGAAGTACGCCCCCTGCCAGGGCGTGGGAGGAGGAAGGCATCCCGACATGAGTGGGGTCTGCGCACATCTGGGCTCCAAAGCAGGGCCCACTCGGTTTTCAGACTTCTCAGGATCCGTGCCCGCCCTGACTTAGGAGTCCTGCTTTGCTGGCAGGTTACATGTACGTGCAACCATTTCATCTAAGATTTGGGCCTGAGTTAGGGAAAAAGCTCATGGCTGGTGTTTTATACACCAGCCCCAACTATTTGAAATCTTCTCTTTCTCTGGTATGTTGCGCATAACCCGCCCATCTCCTCGCCTCTCCGTGTCCCCAAGCCAACCAGTGCTGGGCTGGTCAGTGTGGCCTGAGTCAGCAGTGGAGGGTGGATTTGACACTGGGCAACACCACACGGCGCCAGTACTTTCCAGACACCATGTGACAATGCGGCACTGCCCGGTGACCTCAGTCCTTGGAGGGGCAATCTTGTCCCCTAGGTGGTTACTGCCATGCCTTTTCTGTAGGTGAAGAACCTGAAACTCAGCCATCTGCTAAGGCACGCGGCTGGACTGCGGTGGGGTTGAGATGAGGCCCGGCCTGGCATCAGCCGACAGGTCATCTTGTGTGATCTGGCCATCGCTTCCTAAAGCCTCCCTAAGGCTTGGTCTTCCCTGGAGATCTCCGGAGAACCCATCTGCCTTTCCCTGTCAACCCTGTTTATTTTCTTTCTTTTGCCACATGAGTGCTTGGAAGAAGCAGCTCAGGATTTACCAAACGGTGGGCTGGCCTCACTTGAAAACACATGAAGACGCATCTCTTGGTTGGGGAGTGAGACCCTCAGGGAGGCGGGTGACGGGTGGGGTTGCTCGGCTCTACCCTCCTGAGAACCGTCTTCAACACGTTCCTGCCCCTTCCAGGATGGAGTGGCTGACCGTGGAAGGGTACTCTGCCCCTCCACCGTGCATGGCAGAACATGGGCGCACCTCCCACCCCACGGGCGCATTCTCCCACCTCAGCACACAACGACCCCGGAGTGTTCCCATAAGCACCCAGACTTGACCCACGAGGCCCCTCACACAGCCTAGCTGTGCTGCTGTGGCTGCTGTCACCCCTTGCAGAGGCAGAAGGCAAGCATCTGCCTGGACACCTAGCAGTTCCAGTTCTCTCTGTTCGTGTTTAAGTTGTTTCTCACGGCTTCTGCCAAGGTGCTCATCATATTCCTGCTCACAGGCCAGGGATCCTAATACAAAATAAATCACCACAGGGAAAAAATAGAAATGTGCAACAACAGAAAAAAAAAAAGGACTGATCTCTGTAGGCCCGCTCTCCAATTTTTGTTTTCAACACATTCCTTTGAAATGGGATAAAGACCAGCAGTGTAGGCTGCTGGGGCCCTGGGAGAAGCGTAGCCCTGCCATTCTGTTCTAGACAGACAAGGGCCCGGTCGAACTCTGCAACCGGGGCAGCGGAGCGTCCCAAAGAGGTCGTACACCGGTTCCTCGCTTAGTCAACAGAAGATGTGGTAGCAGCCCACAGCGGGGGAGCAGGCCCTACCTGCCGGCACTGGGTTGAGCTTTCGCGTCTATGGTCATTGTCTCACTGAGTCTAAACGGGAACTCCTCAGGGTGGCTTCTCTTACTGTCCCCACTTTCCAGATGAAAAAACTAAGGGTTCGGAGCTTGGAGGTCTGCTCAAGGTTGTAGAGCTGGGCGGGATGTTTCGCCCTGGGAGACGGCAAAGTTCTTCATTGCCATGCTTGACTACTTCCCATCAGACCTTCGAGCGAAGGGCATTAGGTTCCAAATAAAACCAATCCAGCTGCTTACCTCACTCCAAAGTCTTCCATTAAGATCTTTCCATTGCAATAGTCAAGAGGTGGGGTCAATTAACTGGGGCGGGGGGCACAGGGAGAAAAAAGAAGGGGAACCCAGAGGATTCAAATTATAACAGGAAAATGGATTGAAAGAGCTACGCATATGTGTTGGAGCCAAATGGTTTGGCAGACGCAGCCACGTTCAGGGATTGGTGATGACAAGGACAGTCCTTTTTCCACCCCACTTTGAGATGCCTTTATAGAACTTTATCTTTTATGTCCAAAGATCAAATAAAAAAGATCACATTTAATGAGAACTAGGGGAAATAAACTGGTGGCAATTAAAGAGTAAAAATAACTTCTCTGTGGGTTCAGACCACAGGCCCTTGCTCGTTTTAAGAGGCGCAGGCAAATCGTTTAAGGCCGTGTAGGCTGTGTTCAGCTCACGTTTCTGCCCACCCCTGCAGCGGTTAAAGTTATAGACAGCGTAGCTCTTGAAGACGTGGAACTGTGCAGTAAGTAGAAGTACAGCCAGGCCAGGTTCACAGACGTGACAGACGTGACCTTGTAACACGGGAGTTAAATCCAAGTCTCCTGTGTAAGCAGGTGCTTTGTGGGGAAGGGGGTTAATTAGAGTGAGAAAAGGTTATGGAATCTCTTCTCTTAATGAGAGACCTTCCCTGCTTTACTCTCAAGCTCTGATTCCACCTCCTCTGGCTCTGGACACAAACTTTCAGGCTGTGTCTAAGATCCAAGGGATTGTCACTTCATGGTCTTGTTTTCCCCGAGCAGAAATGTTTTGGTCTACGCAATGAGGCAGACCCGAATGCTTCCTCAGACTTAGAATAACCCAGTTCACTCCATCATCCACAGGCAGCCAGACAGATTCGAGGTTTTCACCTCTGCCCTACACCGCTGTGGCTTTGGCCAGAGTTTGGGAAGCACTCATCCACCTTAGCGTCAAGCTGACACCTGGTAAAATCCTGGGTGTCACCAGCTTTTCACGGAATCTGCAGACACTCAAAACCAGAACCTCCTATAAGGTATCACTCTGAAATATTCCCTGAAATCTCCTGCTTTGGGATATAATGTGGGACTGACTCACGAGGAGATCACCTGCAGAACAGAAAGATGTAGAAGTTTTTACCCTGGACTTAGGAGCCCTTGTTTTGTGCGCCAAGAGATTTGATACACCCTGTTTCAAGGTCAAGTCTATCCTTGGTCTGTCACCCATGCCATACCCTGGAACACCGCACTTACCGATAGAAAGTAGCATAGTCCACTGTTGAGTGGCAGGTCTGAAACTCCCAGGATTTGAGTTTCTGGCATTCTCGATGCGCTCGGAGCTTCACCTTCACTGTTCCTTGACACAGTTCAGGCACCAGTTTTCTCCGGGGTCTGTTGCAGAACTCATTGGACTCCACCCTCCAGGACTCGGCAAAGTCATCCACATCAAACTTGAAGTTTCCATCTCCACCAATTAAGTCATCACGCTTATGTCCATTATAGTTGCCGCAGAGACCACAGAGTTTGCCCTTGAGATGGGGGGCAGCCATGACTTCGACAAAACTGTCTCCATCCCAGGATATTTCCAAACCTAGAGGAGAAGGGGGAGAGAAGGGGATCAACCACTCTCGAATCCAACAAGACTCCCCAAGTGCATATATCCTTAAACGGCACATGCCTGTGCTTGAACAAGGAACACTAAGGGTCGGTCCGAATTCTTGGTCACCTTTTACTCTTGCCCTATTAAATATGTGAAATTACACGAATCACTTACTTGTTAGGACCTAGAATGTTTACACTGTATAAAGTTTGTCTTAATAATGATATCCTATGTATTCTGGTTTGACTTGCAAATAACATGGTCTCCTTATTCCCTGTCACTGTCTCCTAAGAGTGACAACCCACACACAAAGAGCAGCTCTTTTTAATAGGAAAAAAAAAAAAAAAGTCTGCCCATGGGTGTTTTTTAACCTTATCCTCTTGGGTTTTTGACAAAAACTAGTCTTTCCAGTTTTGAGCCTCTGGGAAGAACAACATGACTTTACTCCTAGAAGACTTTGCTTTTGGTCTCAAAGTATAAAATTAGGCTGATGAGCAAATGCTCAGAAGATGCTCAGAAGAAGTTTTCTGAGGACAGGGAGAGAACGAGGAGAGAATGGATCTTGCTTGGATATAAAATTGGCATAAAGCAGCATGGGAAAGGACAGGGAGAGAACGAGGAGAGAATGGATCTTGCTTGGATATAAAATTGGCATAAAGCAGCATGGGAGTGATGTAAGATCAGTAAGAAACGCCCAGAAGCGAGATTGCAAAGCCACTATTCCCTAGTTTGGACGTGGTCCAGGAGGAGAGGAGGCTGGCCGAATGGCATTTCTGTGAGCAGGCCACACAACTGCCACAAGTAAGAGTCGCAGATCAGCCTCAGGCAGAGCTATTGGTAGAATCAACCACTGGTCTAAAACTGGATTTCTCCCAAAATAAAGAGAAAAGCACCCATGGAAATCACTCTCTGGTAAATTGAAGGAAAGGACACATTCTTCATTCAAGGCAAGAGGTGGAGAAGCTTTTCCTTGATTGGGATGAAAAGCTGGGTTCAGAAAAGCCATCAAATAGAGTTCGGTAAAGAAGCAAGAAAGATGATCATAAGAAAGTGTCTGTTGGGTGTAATTTGATGAAGAGAAGACAGTGACGAGACAAGGTGCTTAGAGAAAGGACACACACAGAATGCACACATGCTGGGCTGTCCACCCCATGTGGGTGTCGGTAAGAAGGTGGTACCAACTCTGACAACCACAGCTATCGTATGAAGTGCTTTATATTTCTCCATACCCCGTCATCTAACACATTATCTGGCACGTAATATATATGCACTGAGTGGATGCATTGCCCTGTAAATTGATACGTCATGCGCAGCCAAGGAAATTGTGAATTTCATGCTAGTTAAGGCATTGCAATAACAATTTTGAAAAAAGACAAGCAAACTATAATATGATTTGTAATATACTCTCTAAGGTATAGAAGAAACTTGACCTTACAGTCCTGTAGCCAGGCAGCTGCCCAGCAAAAGAAATGAGAAGGAAAAATCAATTTCATCCACATTCTTTTACAGCACTATTCCAAAGATTTTTTGGTGCTGCAAAATTCTCTAAACTACAAATCTCTTTCCTAGACAGCAGGCAAATACTATTCTTCTAAGTGCCACAGTGGTTGAAAGTTTCTGTCCAAAACAGCCTCCAACATCATTACTGACAATGATATAATAAATTTGAGACTTTGGGCCACGGAGTTCATGGGAATCTAACTCACAGCGAGCAAGCCAATTATTGTGTTGTGTGTTTTTGTTTTTGTTTTTTGCAATGGACTGGTGATCCCTGAATGCTTGGGTTGATGCAGACCCACTGTGCTCTTAGTAAATGCTTCTTAAAACTCTTAATGCCTCACTCATGAAACAGGGTCCCCAAGGTAGGAGAATGATTTGTAATTCATTCTCTTTTCCTCCTCTTTTCTTTGTTATTATTATATTAAGAGGATTTTCATGGATCAGTGCTAGGCTTCCTATGTGAAGGAATAAATGATTCAACTACAGATGCCTTTGTCTATTCCTATATCATATACATATGTGTTCGTGTGATTTTTTTCATCCCCTATGTGAGCAAAATCTATGAAAAGTAGATTATAGTAGTGACAGGCAAAAAAACAAAAACAAAAAAACTAGTAAGTTGTAACTAAAGTACTTGCTCTTCCAAAAGATATTTTAAGTAGGCATCTCATGGAAGTGTGGGCAGGGGTTAGCCCCTTCCGCAGCTGGGATGAGTTTCCCACTTCTCTGCAGGGGACACTGGGTCAGAGTCACTGGCAGAGTCAGAAGGCTGAAGCGAAGCACACATCCCATCTGGGGACACGCAGCAGCCACGTTCCTTCCACTGTGTGAGGGGCCTTCCAGTTTTCCCTTCTCACCAGGGAATGTTTTACAAACTGGTTCTTCACCCTTCAGATGTGTGACCTGGCTCCAGACCCCTAGTTTGGTGTTTTTTCTTGGGGGATGAAGGGGGACTTGTTCTTTCATTTGTTGGTTGTTTTTGTTCGTTCTGCTTTGTTTTGTTTTCGGGTTGTCATTGTTGCTTTTGTTGTTGTCCATGGAGAGGTGAGAAGAGGCGCAAAATCAGTACCCATACCACAGAGATGCTTAAAAATGGATGGCTTTCTGTTCAGAGTTTACATCAAAGAAAAAAAAGACACATATGCTCCAGGTTCATCAAGTGTAGAACTCTTGACGAACCTGGAAAAAAGGAAGGTAAAAAGCCACACTCACACGTGTTAACGCCTTTCCGGTGGAGCTGATGTAACTTTTCAGGTGGATCAGATGAAGCGATCAGATGGCAGAAAGACAATATTCTTAAATTGTCCTCCAAGTGCCGAGTGGGGTCGGGGTGTTGCGGGGGGCCGGGCTTTCTCAAGCCGCTAAGCTTTGCTCTGCGCCCTCTGTACTACCCCAGATGTTAGTAGGTAAGCAGCTACCGCCTGATTCCTCCCAAGTGACAGGCCACCTGGGCTCCCCTGCAGGTGATTCCATCATGAAGCTCCGAGTCCATGGACCCCAGGGCCAAGTCATTCCTCCCACTTCCCATCCTCCAGCAACAGGCTCGAGTTACGCAGTTATTCTGAAGAAAGGACCCTTTGATCATATGAGCTTATGATATTAAAGGGAAAAAAAAACCTATGGAAGAAGGACCCTCAAAGGATCTTTTAAATAGATGATCAATAGGTGATAAAAAGAAAATATCCCTAAGGGATAGCGCAAGCTGGGGTTGGTGGACCAGAGTGGAAACAGCTATTGCCTAGAAATGCAGTTGTTCCGTTCAAAGGATAATGTCAAAGCAAGCTTCATGTCCAGAGGAACACAGCTCTTCCCCGGGAAGAGCTCCATGGCTCCAGGAAATTGTTCAGCTGAGCATTAAGGGAGCCACATAAATTACGTGACTCATCGGAAAGGAGGTGAAAAAGTAAAAGAAGTTGTAAAACTAAGTTCAAGGCCTGGAAGAGTTAAATTCACTAATCTACTTGCAGTATGTATGATGCATTATTATTTTCTTAGCAGCCTCGTCCCTTGGCTCATTTTTACAGAGAGTACACTTATCCCCAAAGGTATTGCCAGCTGTGAGAGGGAAGAGCACAGAACCTCCTAGGCTGTGAACAACCTTTGAGCATCCAGGGACCCTTTGAGAACAGGGCTGCGCTGACTAATCATCTCCACATCGGTAGATTCCCCTGGGTGCCGCTGGCTCCCTAATGGATAGGCAAGGTGCTTCTCCTCAGTGCTGCGTAGTAACGTGTGCACATTGTACGGGGAGCCACAACTGGCTGCCTCCTTTCAAGGAATGAGCTGAGGCCTATCTCTGCAGCGTGGTCTGTCATTTGAATACGACAACAGGTGTCTAAACTTCCTGAGCAGGACTAATCCTTCTACAGGTGAAAGATTAGAGCTCTTCACACCTGCCACACTCCAAGTTCAGAATGGGAATCTCCCCGCCTTTATCGAACGTTGCAATGCATCAATATTTAACATCCTCTCACTGAAGCCTTGTTACTCTCCCTGAATAAAAGCTCCCAGGCTTCTCCTTGGCTTCCAGCCTTGTTTAGCTAAGCTGGCGTTCCATACGCTAACTCAGTTCATCAAACATACATTTGGCTTGAATTGAAACAATTCACAGGGTTCTGGAGGTAAAGAACAAACAGCCTCTATAACCCCTCAAAAGTGTCTGCCGGATCAAAAGCTTCCCTTTTCGATCCATATTATCTAAAGGAACTGGAACCTAATGGGTGCTTTCACGTTGTTAAATTCTCATCAATGCCAAAAGCAAGACACATGTGGATTTCCTCAAGTGTCATACTTAAAGAACTAGCACCAGCCAGGAAATCACACAGTCCAAGAGCCCAGTTAACAGTACGTCCGAACCAAAGGTAGCATGAAAGGACCCATGCATGATATAACAAAATGTGTAAATGAGCTGAATTCAGACTTTGGGGCGAACATTGAAGAACTGAGTTCTGTTTCTAAGATGCCTCTCTTAGGTAGCACCTCCCAGGCAAAAACGTGGGCCTTCTTGAGCCCCTAAGAACTACCTAGGGACCGTGAACAGAGTGGCTGCTGGAGGAGGCGGCCGCCCCTGGAGCGGACAGGAGGCCTCAGGGAACAGGGGCTGCTGAGAAAGGGCCGCAGGCGTCAGCCCCATGTGCCCAAGCCCAGGGGAAGGGCTCTCAGAGCAAGCGTCCAAGTGCGCCCAAGCGGCTGCCAGTGGTTCCGGACACCAGCTCAGCGAGCGTCCTTCCCCGAGGTCAAGAGCAGACAAAACTGCTGCCCACGCAGTCCGCCCTCTGCCCTGGCGCCTGCGCACCCGCACAGACTGCGCCTGCGGTTTCCTTTGGAGGAATCCCCCCTCCCTGGACAGATGCTGACAAGGAGACACTCTCACAGCTGTGCGGCTGCACATTGCTGGCTGGGTCGGGAGAGACACTGACCATTCCAAGCTGGCCACCAGTGGCCTAAAATTAGAAACAAAGTGCAAGAGGGGTCATGTGGGGAGCCCCACTGCTGCGTTTGGAAGGAGGATGGAAAGGCCCTGGGTGTTGGGTTGCACGACTGGCGGGACTGGCGCGGGACAGCAAGGCAGGGAGTGCGCACATTTCTCCGGCTATCTGGGGGCATCTTCACGATCTGCTGCCTGCGGCTGGGGCCCTTCTCCGTCTCCGGGTTTCCCTACGTGGAGGAGGAACGGAGGACACGGAGGAAGGAACGGCAGGCCGGCGCGCTCGGCGCCGCTGCTGCGCGGGCTGGTAGGCGGAGGGACGCGGACACCCCGTGCTTCTGGAAGCCCACCTGCTTTTGTCGTCACTTTGAGGAGGTAGCCGTCCAGGTCGATGTGGAAGAGCGGCGCCTGCCAGGGCAGCGCGATGCGCGAGCCGTTCCAGCGCACGGTCAGGTGCTGCTGGAGGCTGACGGTGCCGGCGCCCAGCACCAGCTCCACCGACTTGGTCCAGGAGAAGGAGCGGGTCCTGCGCGCGTCGTTCTTCACCAGCACCTGAAAGGGCGAGGCAGGGGAGGAGCAGTCTTTTGTCAAAACGTACTGACACGTCCCCTGAAAGTTAAATGTCCGTCCGTCAAAAGTGTTGTAGTGGGGATCTCCGAATACCGTGCAAACGCCAGGCTCTGCGGATGAGTGAGAGACAAAAGCAGGGTCACAAACCGAGCGCAGGATTCGAAGACAAATCAGGGGTCCCTGCAGTAAACCCGGAAGGGGCGCCCGCCAGGTAAGGGAGGGCCTTACAGAGATGCACTGAGCAAAACCAAGTTTAAAAACAAAAAAGAAAAAGTTTGGTTGGTGGTTTTAAACGTCTGTGCCAAACCTCGTAGGACATGGAATACTTCTGGTGCTTTTATACTTAAAAGTTATTTATTACACTTCTGAACAAGCATCTCTGTTTTGGAGCCTTGGTAGAGTTCTGTGGTCTTAATGTAAGGGATGGAGAAATGGAGCTAAGATAATTTTGTACACAGAACTGGCCTAACTTCATACCCCATATAAACAAGAACAAAGCATAAATAAATAAGAGGCAGCGACACAAATGACAATACATCAAAACATAGTGTTATTTCCATTTAACTAAAAAAACAACAACAACATGGTATTCTACATGCTACTCATGGTTTTAAATGAAAGTATTATATTCAACACATATATTTACTAAAGACAAATAAATAGAATTGCCAAACAGATGCATGTTTCATACATCTAGGAACCAAGGACTGATAAATAGTCTCTATGTGTTTTATAGAAATACAAGGTTCCTATATTTTGATCTGTGCATCAAAATCTAAAGTTGGATAAAAAAATAAATCTTAAAATCCATAATGTAGTAAATTTAACAAATTCCAGTGAATTCATCACTTCGAAATACCTTTAATTTAAATACTTTATGAGACCCAAGTAGAGTTTCACACTTCGGCGTATCTCAAAGATATTTATAGAAAATTAAATATTATCTCTAAGACACAATTTGGTATTGATCTGTTCTCCATCTAAAGGTATTTTATCTGTTTCCAGGAGGCATGAATAACCAGGAAGTGAGGAATTCATTTAGAGAAATTATCCCAAAGGATGAAAAGATCTATAATAAAAAATGCAATTTCCAGTCAACACCAGAACAGGTCAAAACTCTGACAATATTGAATAAGCAGTTGCTCTGCATATCTAAGGGAAGAATTAAGAGTTGAGATAGAAGGAAGATGGGTCAACAGAGCAGGTAGGACCAGTGGGACCCAAGGCAAACATTTGCTTGTAATGTCTACGGTGTTCGGAGAGTAACGTTGTTTTATGCTGTGATATATGTTATTGCAAACATCAATTCTATGTTACTCCATATAAATCACATGCATTGGGAATACGATAGATGAATTGTTCTAGGTTAGCGTTCCTTATCCACATTGGACAGAGACTCGAAAGGAGAGTTTGGGGCATGTGCGACATTTTCAGTGAATGAATGTTGTAAAGAACGTATGGAAGGCACAACTTGGAGAGGAAGGTTAAAGGAGTGGGCAGGAGAGAGAAGCTCTAAAAGGTCCGCAGCAACATCGGAATGCACCTTCCACCTCGGTTTCTTTCTCATCCTTTCCTCGGGGGTGTTCTCCACTGGACTGCAGTTTCACTCCATTTGTTGCTCCACCCCACGCCCACCTCTCTGATCTGGCCAAGGCTTCTCACCAATCTAATCGCCTCATATAGCATTTTTTCAGACCTTTCTCCATGTGATTACTTTCAAAATTGTCTTATCACACATTTCCCTCACATGCTGACTAACAGTCTCTCCCTGGCACAAAATTGGTGCTTTCCGGTTACCAGGGAGCAAGGCAGTCCTCAGAGACTCCCCAAGGGACATGAGGAGAGTTACAAGCAAGAGCTGATACTGCCAGGTGCCACAAAAGGGCCTGACCACCGATGCACTAAATTCAAGAGAAGGGCTTCTTTGGAGTTCTTAACTCCATACACTCAGCAAGAAAGCATGGAACCAATCAAGGCTTGGGAGCTTTGGCGTTTGTAACAGATGGCCCTCAGCTTGAAAAGGGTCAGCGTCCTGGGGAAGGATTTGAAACTATACTCTGGCAGAAATCCTCTCTCGGCTGTGAGCAGGCCCGGGAACACCTCTGTCCTCTGACCAGAGTCGGCAGTAACATCTTCTCCTGAACCCAGGACAACCACAGCTTCCTCTGCTGTTCTGACAACAGTTGCATCAAAGTGATCATTTACAAAAACAACAGCTAACATTTACTGAGAACTCAGTGCACACCCTATGTCCTCTATGCCTACTGATCATAGCTACCTTATAAGAAAACATTTCTTATAAGAAATGTTTAGATTGTCTCCTAATGTTAAACAAACAGCTGAGCACTTGGTAGCAAATCCGTAAAATGGATTATTACCTAGTCGTTGAAAAAGTTTGGGAATAATGTTCATAATTGAGGACATGCTTATCATGAGTTAAGTGAAACATGGGAAAGACACAAAATTCTATCTTAACTGTCTTAAAATAAATACAGAAACACACACACTAAAATTGTAAACTGTGGTTATTTCTTGGTGGCAGAATCATGAGTGATACTTTTTCTTCTTTACGCTTTTCCAAACTTTTTTTTTTTAAGAGTCAAAGTGTGGCTACTTGTAGATAAGGCCAATTTTGTGACAAAGCAAATGCTCAAAAAAGCAACAGGAAAATATACTGTCTCTAGTGGCCCTGGGGAAACCTGAACTTACTCATAGCTGGGCAAAGAGCTTTGAGGACACCAGGGAGACCAGGCAAGGGAAATTACGTGTGAACAGGGCTGTCAAGAAAGATATTTTTCAAGAGGCTCTCACTTGGGGAAGAGAAGGGTTTGGAGATCAGGATGATTTTTCTGTGTAACAGCTATACAGACGAGGCCAACAAAACTTCATGACTACAAAGATGCCTGAGAATTATGTGTTGCATTTGGGGACATTTGCATCATGAGCTAAAATGATTTTGAAACCTTGGCCCTTCTTCCTGGCACCTCAAGGTCCCTATGCCAGATCCCACAGGAGAAGCAAGCACGTGCCCTAAAGGGGGGCTGAAAGTGAGAACCTCGGGGTTGCGCAAATCTGCCTCGCCGAAGAGGGACAAGGCTAGGGAAGCACTTAGGGGACACAGAGAACATTGTATTCTCATAGAATTTTTTTCCAGCAGAAGCCATGAAGGGAGCTGCAATCCAAGATGTCCAGATGTCTGGTCCCACTCTCCTGGAAAGCTTGGGGTGATGGCTGGAGCTAAGTAAACAGATCATTCTACAAATGACCTTGAATACATGCAAGTCAGAGGATGAACGGAAAGTGCGAGTTTACTCTTGGTGGTACTTTTTTCATGGTCCTTTAAGTCAGATCATCAGATGTCATTTTTATTTTGGTTTGTTTTCAATGTATGTATACAAAGGTCTAGGCGAAGGAGAAAAACGATTAGAAGTAAATAAACCCAAATATAAAGAGTGTTTCTTTTTTCTCTTAGGTCATGGAATTGTGGGTGACATTTATTTTCCGTTCTTGTTTATGTGTATTTACATTATTTTTTTTTACATTGACATTCCTTATTTACAATGGCTATGTATACTTTTAGAATTAGAATATTTGCTTTAAAAATTAAAAATATTGAATTAAAACATATTGCTTTGATCTTACATACTTTAATAAGATTGCTATAAGAATTAAGAGAGTCAGGCTGCTTCTGAAAACATAATTCCAATGCTTTTCTCTTAACTTCAACAAGTACATTTATTTCTGCCATGGATATATTTATTCTAATGAAATGCTTTCCTTCTGAGAGCAGTGATTATTCTCAAAACATCCGTCAAAGAAAATTAAGGGGAAATTATACAACTCTATGTTATGAAAAAGAAAATAAGAGAAATTGGGAAGACTCTAAGCCCTTTCCTCTATAACACAACAAAACAAAAACAGAAAAGCATAAGGAAGAAAAAAAAAAGTATCATTCATGGTTCTGCCATCAAGAAATAACCACTGTTTGCAAGTGCGGGATGTGGTGTGTTTGTGTATTTTAACATAGTTAAGATTATCCTGTACATGAAATTTTATTTCCTCTCCATTTAATATGTCACAAGATTTCCCCAGTCACTAAAGTCACTTTGAACACATAGAAAGTGACTTTCACCCTTTGGCCATTGTTTCTGCAAGAAGATAATTCTCTCCAACTCATCCTACCACACACAGGCAGGCCAGTGTATTTCCAGAGAAGTGTTCTAACCACGAGCAAGTCTATGAGATGAAAAACAAAGCTGTAAACTTTTCTCCATACAAATGGCAGGGAATCGGGCCCTGCTGGACGCCAGGATCCCTGGGTCATGCAGGGGCTACCGGGAACCCCCAGTGGGTAAGAGTTGTCATCATAATGTCAAGTTCAGGCCAAGAACCAGGAAAGGCCTGGGTCAGGAACACTGCTCTTAACGTAAGCCCCCGTGGTATTGGCCTAGGCGTCTTCTGAAAGTCATGTGAGCGTCTGATATAAAAAGGCTGCGTGCGACCTGAACTTCCCCATCGGGGGGAGGCCCCGACAGCTGTTGCTCCCAGGGGACCCGAGGTCCCACCAAGGGGCACCGGGATTCCTATAAGACTTGACATCCTTGGCTTCTTAAATCAAGAACTTAATCTAACTTGACTGTGTGAACGTGGGAAGAAGGGGACAGCGGGTCTCTTTCTACCAGTTAATAAATCTACATAAAAAAACTAAATTTTAAGAAAGCTGCATAGGCACCTGAACCTAATATTTAAAAAAAAAAGTTACCTAGGGATATTGTTAAGAAGGTAACTTTCCTTTTACATAGTTTCTACAACCCCATACCCTTACCAACTTCAAACAGAAGAGCAAAGGAAACCATCCCTACGTTCAAGACCTGATCCGAATTAAATCTAACCCTAAAGCCATGGCTGACATTCTGGGCCTCCAGCTGAGCTCCCTTCTTGCCCAACTCTCACCTCCGCCCTTGGATGGCCTGCGCCTGCCCTGCCCTTGACCCCTCCCAGCACAGTGGCCCTTCAGCTCCTGGCTCCAGTGCCAGCTCACGCAGCAACTTCCTGGACGCCTCGCATTTCTAAATCCCTAAAGCAAAGCTGACCACATAGCTCAGATGTT